CCTGGTTTTTAAGGGAAGGCATGGCGATCCCCTGCGGGGAGGGGGATGGCCCCCCCACCGCCGCCCGAGGCACGTCCCGGAGGGCAGATGCCACCAGGACCATGTGTGAGGACCAGGGCTTTCACCCAGGGCTGTCCCACGCCGGGGGTGGGATCTGCTATGGGGCAGGGGGTCTGTGGGACCCCAAGGTTTGGGTCCCCCCCATGAGCGTCCTGCCTGCACGCCGTGGGGCTGTCAGAGCGCCCACGTTCATGCTGGCAACGCCTTCCCGAGCACAGCTGGAAAAGGGTGCAAGGACCTTTCCTGATGGGAAGCACCGGGGTTGGGATCCCAGCTGGGGACGCAGGGTAGGAGTGGAGACCCCACGCAGGAGACGCAGCGCGGACCGAGCCTGGTGGGAGGTGGGAGACAGGTCCCAGGCTGCCTGCTGGGCCAGCGTCTCGAAGGACCCACCAGGTCCCTCCTGACTGGAGCCTGGAGAAGAGGAGGCTGAGGGGAGACCTCATCGCTCCCTACAACTCCCTGCAAGGAGGGGGCAGTGAGGTGGTGCTGGTCTCTTGTAGTTAGCAATAGGACAAGAGGAAATGGGCTCAAGCTGCGCCAGGGGAGGTTTAGGTTGGAAATTAGGAAAAATTTCTTTATGGAAAGGGTGGTCAAGCATTGGAACAGGCTGCCCAGAGAGGTGGTGGAGTCCCCATCCCTGGAAGTGTTCAAAAATGGGTAGATGTGGCACCTGTGGACATGGTTTAGTCTGGTCTACCCTTGATTGGCTTAGTGTGGACTTGGTAGTGTAGGTTAATGGTTGGACTGGATGATCTTAAAGGTCTTTTCCAACCTAAACGATTCCATGATTCTATGATTCTATGACTCGGGGTGGGACCCCCCATGTCAAGGGCAAGTGCGACCAGAGCAGGCGGGGCCGGGCAGGATGGGGCTGCCACGAGGGACCGCGGCGCTCTCCATCCCCAGGAGAAGCGGGGACCGGGCCAGCGGTACCATCTCCTAGCCACGGCGAGGGCTGTAATGGTGGCATGAAGGCCACGAAAGCAGGGCGTGAGATGGGGGCTGTGCACTGGGGAGGACAGGGCTTATGCCCGCCTTTGCACCGGGAGATGTTTCACGATGAATTTGGGGTTGTGCCGATCCCTGTGGGCGTGGTACCGAGCTGCAAGGAGGGAGCCCAGCCCCGGTTTTTGGGCTGCTGGTGGTCCCTGGCGCAGGTTGGACATGGCCATCCTTGCACCAGCAGTACGAGGAGGACGAGGTGTGGGAGCACCCTGTGCTGTAATAGTCCTTAATAGTCCTTAAAAATAACATTCTCGGAATGACGTGTTCAAATAATCGCCTTCAATATGTGCCCAGGGCTAATTTTTTTTTTTTTTTTTAACTTTAAGGTTGACTTCAGACTTGGGCTTGTTTTCTTAATTAATTTCAGTTCACTGGAAAACACTCAAGCAGGACATCATACTCTTCTGTTGTTTTCCCCTGAATTTGCAGGTCCACAAATAAATTTTTGACGTTAGAGCTACCCAGGCAATATTTCCTCAACCAAATAAGTATTCCTAGACCTAGATGGTGCGGCCCGGAACAAACCCGAGATTATCGTGATGACTCAGCACTGAAGGATTAAGCTCCAGAAGCTTGAGGGTATTTGGACAGCTGACCCCACCTCATGAACCTCCAAGGAGCCGGACCTAGGGATACCTGAGATAGGGAGGGAACCGTTTCTCAAGGTTCCCCAAGGGCATTGCTCTTCCTTTCTGCCTTGAGGGAGGATTTCTGATGATTTGTGGCCCTACTCCGAAGTTGTGTGGCTGAAGTGAAGGTCAGCCCAAGAGTCTTTCCTGATGGAAGGCTCAAGATCTTAATTCCTTTGCCTCTGAGGTGCTGAGATTGCATTTCTATTTTCAGTGCTGCTGAATTTCTCAGTGGTTGTAATGAGTTCCAGGTATAACTGCACTCTGCATTTAGTCCATTGCTTTCTCGAGCGCACATTTAAATGTGTTAAGCCATGGGAAGCAGTGGAAGGAGAAGAAACCTGTGCCTTCTGTCAGTAAATCATCTTCTATAGGTAAATCGTTTTTTACAGTATGAAATGCAGGATTACAGAGAGAAAGCTCATGTCCAGAGTCCTGGGACATGGATTTTCAGGACTGCAAGGAGTTTGGAAAACAGATGAAGATAAACATAGTTCCCAACTAGAAATATTTTGGTAATGTCACATGGTAAATAGCTCATCAAGGGATTGATTATACCTAACTTGGTGTTTGCTTATCATCTGCAGCTTGAAGGCATTCAGCTTGGTTCCCAAGGGAGGTGTCTGAGTTCAGAGTCTGTGTAACGAGGAAAACATGGAATAGATAACAGGTAAAAAATGGGATATGATGTGTGTGAACATCAAGAGAAGAGCAGTGGAGGAGAAGGGGGTTCCTCAGCCTCCCGCCGTTCCTCTGGGAAGGGAAAACAAATGCCGTGGATAGAATATGGAATATTTTTCTTTGTTTATTTGTTTCTAAGGAGCTTCTGCTCCAACTCAGAGCAGTGAATCCACTTCTCCCATGGAAAACATGGGAGGAACAGGAAGCAGGTGAGCTCTGTCAGGAGATGTCTCACCTGGCCGTTAAAGAGCCACGGTCGAACCCTGTGAGGAATGACCTACGGCATGCCAAGCAATGAAAACGTCAAGGAGGCCTCACCATCTTTGGGGGGGTCCCCAAAAGGGCTCACCGTGCTCCTGCTGGAGGTCCACGCACCAGCTTCCAAAGTTCCTTCTTAAGTTGCATCTACTGTTTCCGACAAGGGAAGAGACCACCAAGTCCTGGACAGAGCACGTTACGACTCTGACACACCGCAGCGGTCTCCTGCTTCCCGTGGTCAAATGTACCCAGAAGCAGCCATCAGCCATGGACGTTATTAACAGGAACAGGCTTTTGCCACAAAAATTCAAGTCAGGCCTGGGTGCTGATAAAGCCTTGCCAGCTGGAGACTTGATGCCACAATAAGAGGACCGGAAGGTGACAGCATCCCTCCCCGTTAGCCCAAGAGAAGAGCAGATAAGAGCCACAAAGTCCCCCATCCAAGGGACCACAGGCACTCTGGCTGGTCTACCATCTCCGGAGGCAGCAGGATGCCAAATCCCAATATGGAAACCTCCTGCTGTGGTGGCCATCAGCTTCCTAGAGGGTTCAGCAAACTATCCAAAAGCAGGTTTGTCATTGCCGGTCCAGCAGCAGCTCTGATGGTTGGTGTCCCTTTCATTTGCGCCCTGTGAGTGCTCCCAGCCAGAGCTCTCAGATGTGTGTCCCTGCCATGGTTGTAAGGGTGGATGGATTGGGTTCTGTTTAATAACACCCTCCTCCTACCCCCTGGTGGCCTCACCCCACAGGGGTGGAGGAAGAGGAGGAGGAAGGGTCGAAGCTGTGCCTCAGCTGTACGTTATTTGGCACAGCCGCACCCTGGCAGCGGGCACAGGGCTGGACCACTTCAACCAAGCCACCTTCGCAAGTCCTGCAGCGTCGGTCGGCACGTGCTGGAGGGAGCAGCCCCCCGCCCAGCTTCAGCAGCAGGAGCGTTTTCACAGAGTCACAGGATGGCTGAGGTTGGAAAGAACCTCTGGAGGTCATCTGGTCCATCCCCCTGCTCCAGCAGGACCACCTAGAGCAGGTTGCCCAGGACCATGCCGAGACAGGTTTTCTTTAATATCTCCAAAGATGGAGATCACACAAGCTCCCTGGGCAACCTGTGCCAGTGCTCCATCACCAGTAACAAAGTGCTTTCTGAGGTTCAGATGGAACCTCCTGCATTTCAGTTGGTGCCCATGGCCTCTGGGCACCACCGAGAAGAGCCTGGCTCCATCCTCTCTGCACCCTTCCTTCAGCTATTTATGTATATTAATGAGATCCCCCCTGAGCCTTCTCTTCTCTTGACTAAACAGTCCCAGCTCTCTCAGCCTTTCCTCAAAGTTGAGGTGCTCCAGTCCCTCCATCATCCTTCCCTGAACTCTCTCCAGTGTGTCCACGTCTCTCTTGTACTGGGACCCCAGAACATGACACAGTCCTCCAGGCGTGGCCTCACCAGTGCCGAATAAGGGGAAGAATCACCTCCCTCCACCTGCTGGCAATACTTTGTCTAATGCAGCCCAGGACACCACGCAGCTTTGCAGCAAGGGCACGTTGCTGGTTCATGGTCAGCCTGGTGTCCACCAGGACCCCCAGGCCAAGCTCCTTCCCAGCTGGGTGTCCCCCAGCACACACTGGTGCCTGGGGTTGTTCTTCCCCAGGGGCAGGGCTGTGCACTTCTTGAAGGAGAGGGGCTCCCAAACACCGATTTCTGCCCAAGCTGCCTCCTGAGGAGGAGGTTGGAGGTCACACAGCGGTTTCTGAGCTCCTTCCAGCCCTGCTGCTACCAGAGTTGGCCCAGAAATGGAGAGACCAGAGTCCTCAGGGCTCATCCTGGCTCCTCCTGCCTGTGGGCTCAGGACATGATGCCAACCCCCTTGATGATGAGGGAAGACTCTTCCAAACAAGGGACACCAAGGGCTGCTGATAGAGCCATCCGCACTCAGCCCCTGTCCCCAGGGCCAGCATCTCTCCTGGAGAAGACAAGGGTGGTGGCCCAGGTGGAGGGAGAGCCTGGTGCCAGCTCCCAAAGGGTGGGCACAGCTTTCCCACCCTGCCCAGTGATTTTGGGGGGGAAAGGAGCAGCACAGGGAGTGCAGAGATCCTCAGTGCTTTATTGGTGACAGCTCAAGCCCAGGCAGCCATGCAGACAGGAGCACTGGTCCCTTGCTGGGGACAGCAGGTCCCACACCAGCACCGTGGCACCTCAGAGCCCACCCGTGGGAGAGGAGCCCTGGGGTCTGGGTCATCGTGTGAGCTGCTGGAAGAGGTTTCATCCCCATCACTCCCTGCTCCTCTCTCACCAGCTGCTCTAGGTGGTCCCGGGCTGGGGTGGCACAGCCACGCTGCTCTCTGCCTCCCCTGCGGCTGCAGCACTCCCACCTTCCTCCTCCTCTCGGCCCATCAGCAGCTCTGAGAAGCTGGGACCTCGTTGGGGCAGAGACATGGAGGTTTGATCCTCCTCCGGGCTGCAGCCCAGGTCTGTGGGCAGAGGGACAGGGGGAACAGTGAGGAGCTGGCTGAGTTCAGCCTCCCTCCTCTGCTGGAGGAACACGCGTGGCACCCGTGGGCCAGGTCCCATGGGGACCACCTCTGGGTCACACACAGATCCCAGCCCTGCAGAGTGGGATGCGCCTGTTCTAAGGCTGCATCAGAGATGGCCCCTTGGGAATGAGGGTGGAGAGGACTTTGGGGCACTGAAGCTGGCCTGGAGCAGAAATGCCACAGTGGGGACATGCCCGGGCGTTTGGTGGCACCAGGGCAGGTTGGAGCAAAGTTGGGGGAAGCTGCCCAGGAGCAGGAGCTGGGGGAGACAAAGCAGAGAGAAGAGGGTTGGTGGGGTGTGTTGGGGATGATGCTTCAGGGGCCATCACCTTCCTCGTCCTGAGCCTCTGATGCTTTCCTCTCTGGGCTCTGGGACAGCAGAGTCAGCCTGTTGAGGGCCAGCAGGGCTTTGCCTGTTTTCTGGAGAGAAGAGGAGGAGCACTGAGCCCCACCAGAGCCACCCCCATCCCCACATCCTCATCTTTCCCCCAGGTACCTGCCATTTCCGACGAGTCAGGAACTGCTTGATCCTCTCCTTTGACAGCGCCTTGGTGCTGCTGGGCTGGGGCTGCTGCAGCCAGGGGTGCAGCAGAGCCCCTGTGCTGGAGAGCCGGCAGCTGGGGGCAGATGGGATGGTCATGGGGGGACTTCTCCATCATCAGACCCTCAGCTGCTGGCATGGCCCCATGGAGCATCCCCTCCACCAACCGCATTCAGTGTTTTCCCCTGCCCATCCCATTGGTACCCTAAAACCCAGCCTGGCTCCAGCTCAGCACCCCACAGCCACCCCCAGGTCCTACCGGGGGTCCTTCTGCAGCAGTTGGCTGATGAAGTCCTTGGCTTGCTGAGAGATCTCCGAGAAGGTCTCCTCCTCAAAGTCCCACTGGGCAGCTGTGATGTTGCTCAGCGTCTCCATGTCATTGTCCCCCTGGAAGGGGGACTCCCCGCTCAGCCTGAAGAGGTGACACAGGGACATCAGTGACAGCTCAGCCCCCTCCAGCCCAACCTGCTGTTCCCAGGAGGCCACTCACAGGATGTAGCAGATGACACCAACGCTCCACGTGTCCGTGGAGAAGCCCACGGGCTCAAAGGCGACCACTTCTGGAGCCATGAACTCAGGGGTGCCGTGCAACACCTTCACGGGGGTGCCCGGAGCTGCAGAGAAGATGCACAGAGCAGGTGTCCAGCCGGGATCTCCCTGGGGCAGCCCAGCTGCACGCCAGCACATGCCGGATGGATGGGCCCCTGCGCCCACGTGGAGCTGCCACCCTCCAGGACCCATCACAGGTCTTGGTGCTCTCCTAGAGCATCTCTGGGTGCTGGGCACCCAAACGCACAGGGGTCTTGGGGGTCTCCACCTTGGAGGCAGGGCTGGGGACATGTAGGTTTCCCCAGAGCATCTTAGGGTCACCAGGAAGGGCCCTGATCTGGTGCCACAGGGCTGCTTGTCCCAAAGGCACGGGCAGGAGGATGCCAAGCTCCTTGCTGACACATCCAGCTGGATTGTGTCCCTGTGGTGGTGACAGTCCCTGCCCTGGTCCCCCAGGACACCCCTCGTCGCTCACCCAGCTTCCGTGCCAACCCAAAGTCGATGATCTTGAGCCAGTGGCTTCCAGGGCTGACACAGACGATGTTCTCGGGTTTGAGGTCAAGGTGGACGACAGCCTGGCCGTGCATGAACTGCAGCCCCTCCAGGATCTGCCGCACATACTGGGCACTGCTGGGCTCCGTGTGCTCGAAGTCATCATCCACGATGCGCTCAAAGAGCTCTCCGCCTGCCACGCTGGGGGAGAACAAGGTGCTGGGGACCCCACTGGGGTCTACCAGCCCCAAGGAGGAGAAGCCCCATGAGGGAACCCGGGCTCAGTGCTCTGGGACGATCTCACCACCCGTATCTCCAGGGTCTGCAGGTTCCCCATCCATCCTGTGCCCCATGCAAGCAGCCCATGGTGCAGGACCCTTCCCCGCATGCCATACTGGGGGAAGTCAAGGTGTTGGGGACCCTGCTGAGGTCTACCGGCCCCAAGAAGGCGGCCCACGAGGGAACCCGGGCTCAGTGCTCTGGGACGATCTCACCACTCGTATCTCCAGAGTCTGCAGGTTCCCCATCCATCTTGTGCCCCATGCCAGTACCCCACGGTGCAGGGACACCTCCCCACCTTCAGCGCTTGCAGGGTCCAGCACTGTCCCCACCACCCCCAAACTTGACTCTGCCCCCCACTCACTACTCCATCACCATCACCAGCTCGGCAGGGCCCTGGAAGGCGGCGAGGCACTGCACAAGGCGCGGGTGATGCAGCAGGTTCATGA